GGCACTGGGTTCAAATCCCAGCTCCTCCCAGCTGTGTGACCCAGGGCCAGGTACATGGCCTGTCTCTCTAGCCTTACTTTCCCATCTGTAAAATGGGGAGAGTGACCATCCCTACCTCTACCTCCTGTGGTGTTCTGTAGGACTGAAGTCAGCCTGGGCGACAGAGTAAGACCCCATCCCTACAAAAATACAAAACATGAGCCAGGCATGCTGGCGCACACCTGTAGTCCCAGCCACTCAGGAGGCTGAGGCAGGAGGAGCACTTGAGCCTGGGAGGTCAAGGCTGCAGTGAGCCGAGGTTGCACCACTGCACGTCAGCCTGAGCAACAGAGCGGGACTCTGTCAAAAATTTTTTTAAGAAAAGATCAAAGTAACACGCTCCTGCTGTGTAGCACATAAAACAGGTTCAAATAATAAGCGCTTACATTTGGGAGCTGTTTCTATGTGCCAAGACCCCTGCTAAAGTCTTTCACCTGGATTACGTCAGCCTAGTAAGGGAAGTACTATTCATGACAACAGGCCTTACGTAGGCCATGCTTTCTGTGCTGGAAAGAATTCTGTGAGTCATTACATTCACTCTTCATTCCTTTGTTCTTTCATTTATTCATTTATTCATCCCTTCACTTGTTCATTTAACTACTCTCACAGCACCTACTGTGTTACAGGCCCTGGACTCAGCACTTTGGCCAAGGAAAAAGGCAATCAGTTCCTGCCCCCACCAAGAAGCCACAGTCTGCTGGGGCAAGGGGATGGGGGGCAGTTATAATTCTGTGCTGTGAATGTTGGATGGAGCACCCCCAGGAGGAGGCTGTGGGGCTTCCGGGGGCAGGAGAGGTTCTTGGAGGATGTGGTCCACACTGGGGCCTCGGCAAAGCAGAAGCTAGCATCTACACACCTGCGTGAGTCCCACTTAAAGAACACGAAGATGACCTTGATGGCACTGGGGAGCCACAGAGGGCTGTTGAGCGGAGGCTGCTCACTGGCTCCTTTGAGTGACCCTGCCAGGCAGGCACACTGAGGGCTTGTGCAAGGGTGCTACATATGAGGTCCTGGGGAGGGGTGTGCAGGAGAGGGGCAAACAGGGTTTGGGGTGGCAGGGCAGGACCAACGGCTCACATTTCTAAGCTGAGCCTGGGCAGGTAAGGCCTGGGAGGTAGGAGCCCAGCGCCATCAGCGCAGAGAGGCTGCGCCAGCTCAGCTCCTGCAGGAGGAGAACGCTGCACCCGCTGAACCATGGAAAACCTACTGTGTGCTGTCCACGGTGCCTGGCAAGGGGGGCACTTGTTACAAATGCAGAGTCTCAGGCCCCACCCCAGAACTGCAGAAGCAAAACGTGCATGGCAGCAAGATTCCCAGGTGATTCGAGCACACTCAAGTTGGAAAAAAATTGTAGGGAATGCCATTTTAGTACGTCCCCTCATAAGCCTATGATAGGGTGCTAGGCAATGCATCAGGGGCTCAGCGCCTGGAACCTGAAAGTGGGAGGGGCCTCCAACGGCATCGTATCCTCCTCCTCACACAGCACCTGGGCCCCCACCACACTCAGAGTAGACCCTCAGGATGGGGCAGAATAATAACAGCCCCAATTGCCAAATGCCTGTGAACCCAGCTTAGAGCTAAATTGCCCTGCTTGCACCTGCTCTTTTTTTTCCCCTAAAGATGGGGTCTCACTGTGTTGCCCAGGTTGGTCTTGAACTCCTGCACTCAAGCGATCCTCCAGCTTTGGCCTCCCAAAGTGCTGAGATTGTAGGTGTCAGTCACAGTGCCCGGCCCACTGCTCATTTTTAACGCTCAAATCAAATCCCAAGTGACCATGCTCACTTTCCAGATGAGGAGACCGGCTCAGAGAAATGAAGTGACCGGCCCCAAGCCACAGAGCCAATAGCATGAAGGATTCTAATACAGCTGGACTCCGAAGCCTGGGTTTTTGCCTCTGCATCTCTACGCATGTAGAATATGAACCTAAAGTTCACCACTCAAGCTTGGATGGACCTAACATCAGATGCATAACAGTAAGCCCAAGGCGGTTTGTTTCAGGGCTGGGGGCTCCACTTGCTGGAAAACTGTCTTGAGGACAAAGGGGCTCTGCCTTCCCACATCCTCCACAGTGAGCTCCACAGTGGCTGCCTCTACCAGCATAGGTACCAAGCACCTGGTGCAGAGCAGATGCTCACGAACTTTTTAAGAGACAGGGTCTCACTCTGTTGCCCAGGCTGGAGTGCGGTGGTGCACTCAGAGCTCACTGCAGCCTTGAACCCCTGGGTTCAAGTGATCCTCCAGACTCAGCTACCCAAGTAGCCAGGACTACATGTGTGCATCACCACACCTGGCTAATTTTTAAACATTTTGTAGAGAAAGGGTCTTGCTATAGTGCCCAGACTGCTCATGAACTTCTGAAGGAACAAGCAAGGCATACCCTTGACACTCTATTTTCCAACATCCAGAGTCCATATGTGCCACTCTGTTAGAACTCAGTGCCTGGCCGACTTGTGTTACCCCACACACTCCTCAGCCTATGGCCCAAGGAGGTTTCACCTGGCCCTGACTGAAACCACCCACCCTCCATTCCTGCCCTTGGGGGATGCTGAGCTGACCACAGGCCCCAGGACCTTACTGCTCTGGAGGAAAACATTTGTATGTCTAGTCTTTGGCCATGGCGATTGGCTCAGACTCAGGTCCGTGACCCCATCAGAGCCAATGAGAAGCCAGGTGACTTTTCCGCTGGGCTCAGGTTCTCTCCCCTCCACTGGGCTTGGTGGGCTGGATGTGTAGAATTAAAGGTATAAGTCTTAATTGTCTTTAAGTCGGCCTTGGATGCAATCAAACTGAGACCAGAGGCCACAACAACCAACAGACCGTCAGAATCTGAGCTCTTGAAATTGACTTAAGAATAAAATATACTGGATTAACAATACACCTGTAGTTAGACACACAAGAGAAAGTGGACATTTATATGTCAGTTTCCATAAAACTTAGGGGAAATTTAAGTGTGTTTAGTAAGAAGGAAGCTTTTCCTGGAGTATTAAAAGGTTTGTTTCAAAGTTCCAACAAGCTGTAAGACTCTGAATGCTTATTTTAGGAAACTACATCTGTTAGAAGTTTATGGTAGAAATTTGTTCAACTTGCTGGGCGCGGTGGCTCACGCCTGTAATCCCAGCACCTTGGGAGGCCAAGACAGGCGGATCACGAGGTCAGGAGATCGAGACCATCCTGGCTAACACGGTGAAACTCTGTCTCTACTAAAAAATACAAAAAATTTGCCGGGCATGGTGGCGGGCGCCTGTAGTCCCAGTTACTCTTGAGGCTGAGGCAGGAGAATGGCGTGAACCCGGGAGGCGGAGCTTGCAGTGAGCGGAGATCGCGCCACTGCACTCCAGCCTGGGCGACAGAGTGAGGCTCCATCTCAAAAAAAAAAAAAAAGAAAAAGAAAAAGAAATTTGTTCAACTTGAAGCTTCCTCATGAACTCTGTGTGATGATCAAGTCACTGGCAAGGACCTCTCACTAACCTAGCTGTAAGTAACTCAAGCAGCACTCGCTTGTAATCCCAGCCACTCAGGAGGCTAAGGCAGGAGGACTGCTTGAGCTCAGGAGTTCAAGACCACCCTGGGTAACATAGCAAGACCACGTCTCCAAAAAAAACAAAAACAAAAAACAATTAACAGGTCTAGTGCAGCGGTGCACGCCTGTAGTGCCAACACTTTGGGAGGTAGAAATGGGAGGACTGCTTGAGGCCAGGAGTTTGAGACCAGCCTGGGCAACATAGTGAGACCCCCACCTCTACAAAAACTTTAAAAAATTAGCTGGTATGGTGGTGCATGCCTGTAATCCCAGCACTTTGGGAAGCTAAGGCAGGAGGATCACCTGAGTCAAGGAGGTCAAGACCAGCCTGAGTAACACGGCGAGACCCTGTCTCTATGAAAATAAAAATAAATTAAAAAATTAGCTGGGTGTGATGGCACATGCCTGTGGTCCCAGCTACTTGGGAGGCTGAGGCAGGAGGATCGCTTGGGCCCAGGAGATTGAGGCTGCAGTGAGCTATGATCGCAACACTGCACTCCAGCCTGGGCAATGGAGCAAGACCGTGTCTCAAAAAAGTTAGAAATATCCAAATAACAAATAATTCAACCAGAATACAGTTTAAGGCATTCCTCATTCCTCTTCATTAAAAAGCAACCTAAAGGGTATCTAAAAGATTAACAAAACATAATGCAGAAGGTTGATTTTCCTTAACAGAAATTTGAGGCAGCCACCCCCATCTTGCCTGAGGCTGGAACTAACCCTAAAGAAGGCGAGCCAAAAGACAGAGGTCCTGATGACAGCCCAAGCCCCTAAGTTGGGCTCTACCACAACTGATTCATCTTTGTGTGTCTGGCAGTTGGCAGGATCCTGGGATCTAACAGGTCCTCCATATGTGTCTGAGATTCCAAGCACATTCCATCCGAGGAATCAGGGTGAGGCAGGGGGTGGCTGAAGAGCCCTTCCTCGCTTCCACGCTAGTTATAATTTATAATTGTGTGATCCTCACAGAAACAGAAGTGGTTCTTTCCTTACTGTTTAGGAACATCTTGTCTTGGAAGAGACCAGAAGCATTAAAACAACTACAGTTGGTTGGGCACAGTGGCTCATGCCTGTAATTCCAGCACTTTGGGAGGCCGAGGCGGGTGGATCACGAGGTCAGGAGATTGAGAACATCCTAACACGGTAAAACTCTGTCTCTACTAAAAATACAAAAAATTAGCCAGGTATGGTGGCAGGCGCCTGTAGTCCCAGCTACAGGAGGCTGAGGCAGGAGAATGGCGTGAACCCAGGAGGCAGAGCTTACAGTGAGCCGAGATGGCGCCTCTGCACTCCAGCCTGGGCGACAGAGCGAGACTCCGTCTCCAAAGAAAGAAAAAACTACCACCCTTCCCCTACCACTCAGCACTCAAGGAAAGAAACAGGACAAGAAATTTGCAAGGGCATGGCCCCACCCAGCACCCAAACCCACTGCCGACCTTACCGAATGGTAGGCTGGTCTCCACTCAGCTGCTTAAATCTCCGATGGAGCTGCTCGATCTGATCTGATGAGACTGAGAAGTGGGGAAAGAGAGAAAAACAAGACAGAAGAAAACATCACTGACTGTCAGAGGGAGGTTGCAAGTATTCCTCTGCCCCATCCCTACCGGCTGCCGCACCCCTTCTCAAAGCGTCTCCCACCATGGCAAAAGTGAGTGCCGGGTGAAGCAGCAGAAAGGATTTCCCATTCTTCCCAGAAACACAGCTCTGCAGTGATCAGTTCCAACTGCCTTAGTAATAATAATACAACTATTACTAATAGCCCCAGAGACAGGGCAGTCATGAAGCAGGCCATTCTCCCAGCCTCTGACCTTCCCCAGCCCACTAAAGAGAAACTTTGCTTTCTGTGGCAGGGTTTCACTTCCATCACTCAGGCTGGAATACACTGGCACGATCGGCATCGCGGCTCACTGCAGCCTCTACCTCCTGGGCTCCAGAGATCCTCCCACCTCAGCCTCCTGGGTAGCTGCAACTACAGGCATGTATCACTATGCCCGGCTAATTTTTGTTTATTTGTTTTAGAGAGACAGGGTTTCACCATGTTGCCCAGGCTGGTCTCAAACTCCTGGACTCAAGCAATCTGCCCGCCTCGGCCTCCCAAGGTGCTGAGATTGCAGGCATGAGCCACCAGGCCCAGTCAAGAGAAAATTGCATCTGGTTGTCTGACCCTTCCTCTTCCACTCCAGAAGATGAGTTTTATCCTAGCTGAGAAAGGGGCTTTGTATAGTCACAGACTCGGAGTCAGATGAGTAGCGAGAGGAAATAAGGGTTCAGGCTGGTGTTGGACGTGATCTGGGAAACCTATACTGAGAAATGTATGGAGAATCTGGTGGAGCAAAGAAATGGAAGGACTCCAATCTGGGTGACAGGGTAAGACCCTGTCTCTAAAAAATGCACAATATTAAACAATGATCTGCATTTCTCACTTCATTACCAAAACGACTCAGTGAGTGAGTGGATATTATCTCAGGTTTTTTGTTTGTTTGTTTGTTTGTTTGGAGACAGAGTCACACTCCATCACCCAGGCTGGAATGCAGTGGTGCAATCTCAGCTCATTGCCACCTCTGCCTCCGTGTTCCAGTGATTCTCGTGCCCCGGTCTCCCAAGTAGCTGGGATTACAGGCACACACCACCACGCCCAGTTAGTTTTTGTATGTTTAGTAGCGACAGGGTTTCGTCATGCTGGCCAGGCTGGTCTTGAACTCCTGACCTTGAGTGATCTGCCCACCTCAGCCTCCCAAAGTGCTGGGATTACAGGTGTGAACCATCACACCCGGCCTTTATCTCAGTTTTATAAGTTGAAAACTGCAGCTCAGAGACACTTAAGATCCCACAACACACAGAGGCACAGCTGGGACTGAACTCTGAGTCTGTGCAACCCCAAAGCCAGCCTTCACCACGAGGTAATATCGCCTGTCTGCCCAGAGTACCTTGGCGCTCAAGGCCTTTAGGTCTGGTTCCTGGGGACTATACAGTTCACGCAAACTTTTCCAAAATACGGGCTAGACTAGAGAGATGTGACCTCCCACCTCAGTCCTCCCAGCATTCCCTACCCCTAAGCCCTGTTTTGCTCCCGTTACAAAGACAGTTAATTTCTGGGGTCAACTGGTCACCTCACTTCCTACTCATTGTTTTTTGGCCTCAGGCTCTTCAAGAATCAACAGCTCAGTATTCTCAAGCATCTCCAGCAGTTCATTAAGGCTGCCAACCCGGACTGAGGGCTCCCTACTTCCTGTGGGCATAGCTCCAATGATTAGCTCATCTCTTCCTCCCAACACTCTAGGAGGGGGCTGTATCCTCTTGTTACAGATGTAGCCACTGACACTTGGAACCGTGAGGTGAATCATCAAAGTGCAATTTCTACCTTTCTGCAGGAAAATATGGCCATTTATATCATAGGTATGTCAGCAAGGACACTGGCATACTTCATGGCCTAGCAATTCCACTCCTAGGTAAATACACAAATAATGCACGCTTTGGTTTACCCAAGCATGCGTACAAAGATGTCATGGTGGTGCCATTGGAATCGCCCTAAACTGGAAACTACCCACATGCCCAAGCATGGCAGAGTACAGTGCTTATGTGTAGTATAGTCAAGCAATGGAATAGCACACAGCAACGAAAATGAACAATATAGATAGTCACAGACAAAAGCAGCCAGACAGGAAAGTGAACATACTTTATGATCCTATTTGCATAAAGTTCAAAAACAGGCAAAACTCAACTACAATGTCAGAGGTCAAGATAGTGGCTGCTCTTAAGGGAGGCATCGTAGATGACGCTAACATTGTAAATGACTTTTGGAGGATGAGATAAGGAGGAGTGACTTGAATGGAGTGAAAAGGGGAGTTCTGGGTACTAGGAATGTTCCATTTCTAGACCTCCATACACTTGACATAGTTGTGTGCTCGGAAACCTCAAAGAACTGTCTGTATGCTTATGAGTGATGCACTGCTCTGGATGTGTACTAGATCACAACAAAACATTTACAAAAAAAAAAAAAGTGTTGGTCTTCCCTGACTAAAGGAGATCTGGGAAGAAAAAATAAAAATGAATAAAAAATTTTAAAAAATTGTAATTCCACTTGGCAGAAATGTATCCTAAAATAATAGACACAACAGGTACAAAAATATGAATACATAAATGTGTTCAACTTTGCACTCTTAAAATAGCTTAAAATTCGACTTGCCCTAAGTGACTATCAAAAGCAGACTGGGGCCAGGTGCGGTGACTCACGCCTATAATCCCAGCACTTTGGGAGGCTGAGGTGGGCAGATCACTTGAGGTCAGAAGTTTGAGACCTGACCAACATGACGAAATCCTGGCTCTACTAAAAATACAAAGATGAACCAGGCGTGATGGTAGGTACCTGTAATCCCAGCTATTCGGGAGGCTGAACCAGGAGAATCGCTTGAGCCCGGGAGGCGGAGGTTGCAGTGAGCTGAGATCATGCCACTGCACTCCAGCATTGGCAACAGAACGAGACTGCCAAAAAAAAAAAAAAAAAAGCAACGCAAGAAACAGATTGGTTGAACACTTTTTGGTATGGTTAGCCAATTTTTTAAGTATACCGCCTTTAGAGTGCAAGAGGGAGGAAAAAAATTTTTTTTTAGGTATACTGCCTTTAATAGTGACAGTTGTGTATTTGCATAGAAATACATTCCACATACACTGCCTAAAAACAGCTTGCTACCAAGAAAGCGCAACTCTATGTTGTGGAAAAGACATAAAAATATACAACTGTGTTTAAGTAATTTAAAAATCCTGGAGTTATTTTCCCCAAAATAATAATTAATTATTTCTCATCTCAATACCTGGATTAAAGACTGTTTTGCTTTTGGTTCATCTATATTTTCCAATTTTTCTCTAATGTATAATGTACATGTATTAGTCTTGGAATGAAGATTTTCAGCCTACAACATGATCCCATCTGGATGGCTGAGAGATCTCATAAATACTGCGATTAATGAATCATTCACTGGCTGAGTAATGTCCCAGGCACACATCATCATCTTCAGTTCCTTCCATGACCCTGTGAGGGACCTACTATTCCCGCTTTGTAGAAGAACAAACTGAGGCTCAGCAGGGATGTAACTTGCTCAAGGTCACTGACCTTGATGGAGGCAGACCCACAATTTGAACTCAGCCTGTCTGGCAGAAAACATGTAGTTCTGTGTTGTTGTTGTTGTTGTTGCTGTTGTTTTTATTTGTCTGTCTCACCCCCAAACCACACTGATCTGATGACAAATAATGATTAGAAATTACAGCTAAACAAGTGCACCTATACAACCACTATTTTTTTTTTTTTTTTTTTTTTTTTTTGAGACGGAGTCTGGCTCTGTCGCCCAGGCTGGAGTGTAGTGGCCGGATCTCAGCTCACTGCAAGCTCTGCCTCCCGGGTTTACGCCATTCTCCTGCCTCAGCCTCCCGAGTAGCTGGGATTACAGGCGCCCGCCAACTCACCCGGCTAGTTTTTTGTATTTTTAGTAGACACGGGGTTTCACCTTGTTAGCCAGGATGGTCTCGATCTCCTGACCTCGTGATCCACCCGTCTCGGCCTCCCAAAGTGCTGGGATTACAGGCTTGAGCCACCGCGCCCGGCCTACAACCACTATTAAAGATGAGTTATAGCTGGGCGTGGTGGCTCATGCCTGTAATCCTAGCACTTTGGGAGGCTAAGGCGGGTGGATCCCTTGAGGTCAGGAGTTGGAGACAAATCCACAGGAACAGAAAGTGTAACAGTGGTTGCCTGAGGCCAGGGAGGGGAGGGGCTGGAGAGGGAGAACAGGGAGACACCGCTAATGGGCACCAGAGTTTCTTTTGGAGAGAGATAAAAATGTTCTAAAATTATATTGTTTTGATGGCTGCATAACCCTGTGATTATACTAAAACTATGGGGTTCAATTTAAATGGTGAATCTCATGATGTGTGAATTACATCTCAATAAAGCCATTTAAAAAACAAATTACTGAACAATCATAACAACAAGGGCAGACATTAACACATTAACTAAGCATTGCCATTTTCTGGCCTCTGTGTTCAACTGTACTTGGATAAGCCTGGGCTGCTACGACCCTCTCCTTCAATTCTGTTAGGTAGGTATGATTCTACGCCCATTCTAGAGATGAGAACTCCGGGATGTGCCCAAGGTCCCACAGCTAGGAAGAGGTATATGAATCATCCTAGATCAAGTTTATCTAATAGTTTCCAGTTAACTGCATCCAAAGTGCTTTGCAAGGCTGGGTGCAGTGGCTCATACCTGGAATCCAGCACTTTGGGAGGCTGAGGTAGGCAGATCACTTGAGGCCAGGAGTTTGAGACCTGCCTGGCCAACATGGTGAAACCCCATCTCTACTAAAAATGCAAAAATTAACCAGGCATGGTGGTGCGCACCTGTAACCCCAGCTACTTGGGAGGTTGAGGCAGTAGAATCACTCGAACCCGGGAGGCAGAGGTTGCAGTGATCGTACCACTGCACTCCAGCCTGGGTGATGGGGAGGGGGGGAAGTACAAGCACACACGTGCAAACTCACATACACATACTCCCTCTGTCCTGCCTGATTGAAAGCAAAGGATTAGGAAGACAACCTCCCACCTCTGGGACGCTCTTTTTGACACCCAAATCCCTGGAGCCAAGGGCTCAGCTCACAGCTCAGGCGAGACTCCTCCGGCACAGTGACTGAGAGAAAGGATGATTTCTGAAGCCTCAGGAACTGACTTTCAGAACACCCCAGGCCCTAGCAGGTGGAGCTGGTCTAACCCGACATGCCTGGTGAGCTGCTTCTTCCTAACCCCGCCTCCCACCCCAACCCCCGCCCCCGCCCCCGGGCTGACCCTGGGCCCCCAACAGGGCCCCTCGAATAAGCACCTGATGCAAGTCTGCCTGCATCAGGGCCCCAAAGCCCACGGAAGGACCTGTCTTTCCCTCAAGGGCTCCTGGGCTGGAAGCTTTTCCAGTTTTCTCGCTCCTCACCTCTGAGCCCTTCTCCAGGGCCCTGAGGTCACCGTTGCCATGGGGATGATGGGCAGAGATTGGCCTTGGTTCCTGGCAGCTGGACATCGTTATTTCTGGTTTTAGATTTCAACCTGAGGGAAATGCACACCAGTCCATGGGACTGGTGGGAGTTTAACTGGCCTAATCTTTTGGGGACGGAGGTGAACTGTCACTTACTATTGAAAACTTCAACATGAAAGAACACACCTGCCCGTCCAAGTGGCTGCTGAGCCCTTGAAGGTGATGAGCCCAGACTGAGGAGTGCTGAAGTGGAAACCACACACCAGCCTGCGAAGACTAAGTACAAAAAAGAAGGCAGACGACTGCAATAACTTGTGATATTGATTATATGGTAAAGTGATCATATTTTAAATATAATGGGCTAAATAAAATACACTATTAAAATTCATCTCACCATTAATTTACTTGCCTTAATTAGAAAATCTAGAATTACATTACATAATGTAATTACATTATAGCTACTAGAAAATTTACCATGATTACACCTCACATTATTATTTGTGTTGGGCAGCGCAGGTATATACCCTTTGAACCAGAACTTGATCCCTAGGAACAAACCCTGAGGAATTAAGACAGGCATATAAAGCTGAACATACCAGGGTAATCATGGTTGCCTATTTAGAGCAGTAAGAAATTGGGGGGCCGAGTGTGGTGGCTCATTCCTTTAATCCCAGCACTTTGGGAGGCCGAGGCTGGTAGATCACCTGAGGTCAGGAGTTTGAGACCAGCCTGGCCAACATGGTGAAACCCCATCTCTACTAAAAATACAAAAATTAGCTGGGTGTGGTGGTGCATGCCTGTAATCCCAGCTACTCAGGGGGCTGAGGCAGGAGAATCGCTTGAACCTGGGACAGAGGTTGCAGTGAGCTGAGATCGTGCCACTGCACTCCAGCCTGGGCAACAAGAGCAAAAACTCTGTTTCAAAAAAAAAAAAAAGAAAAAAGAAAAAAAGAAATTGGGGGAAATGGGCCAGGTGTGGTGGCTCATGGCTGTAATCCCAGCACTATGGAAAGTTGAAGTGGGAGGATCACTTGAGCCCAAGAGTTCAAGACCAGCCTGAGCAACACAGGCAGATCCCATCATACAAAAAAAAAAAAAAAAAATCAAAAAATTAGCTGGGCAAGGACTAGTGAGGCTGAGGTGGGAAGATCACTTAAGCCTGGGAAGTTGAGGTTGCAGTGAGCCAAGATTATACTCCAGTGAGCAACAGAGCAAGGGGCTGTCTCAAAACAAAAAGAAAAGAAATTGGCTGGGCGCAGTGGCTCAAGCCTGTAATCCCAACATTTTGGGAGGCTGAGGCAGGTGGATCACCTGAGGTCAGGAGTTCTAGAGCAGCCTGGCCAACATGGTAAAACCCCGTCTCTACCAAAAATACAAAAATTAGCTGGGCACGGTGGCAGGCACCTGTAATCCCAGCAACTCAGGGGGCTGAGGCAGGAGAATCGCTTAAACCCGGGAGGCAGAGGTTGCAGTGAGCCGAGATCATGCTATCACACTCCAGCTTGGGGGACAAGAGCGAGACTTTGTCTCAAAAAAAAAAAAAAAAAAAAGAAGTTGGGGGAAATGCTGAGCCACAGAAAACGAGACAGATTAGTCCTGGTACATCCTAAAGTTGGAATACTACACAGTCTTTATAAATATTTTTTAAATATTGTGGGGCATCGGAAAATGTCATATGGCATGTTGTTGCATGGAAAATCTAACAGACTAAGATCTCATTTACACACAGAAGTTCATATTGATATACGCATGTGCACAAGAAAAAATAGGAAAGGGTGTATAACAAAATAATAGTAGTTAGTTGTTTTCAGATGGTAGAATTACAGAACATTTCGCTCCTCTCCTCCCTTTCACCCTAAATTTGGTTATTTGTCCCTTAACTTTTCTGCAATTTACGGAGATTAGTTGTATAATTGTATTTGGGTTAATTTTTTTTTTTTGACATGGAGTCTTGCTCTGTCGCCCAGGCTGGAGTGAGTGGCACGATCTCCACTCACTGCAAGCTCCGCCTCCCGGGTTCATGCTATTATCTTGCCTCAGCCTCCCAAGTAGCTAGGACTACAGGTGCCCCCTCACCACACCCAGCTAATTCTTTTGTATTTCTAGTAGAGACGGAATTTCACCGTGTTAGCCAGGATGGTCTCAATCTCCTGACCTCATGATCCGCCCATCTTGGCCTCCCAAAGTACTGGGATTACAGGCGTGAGCCACCGTGCCCGGCTGATTAAAAATTTTTTAACCATGATGACTATAATGGACAAATAAAAGAAAGACTAGATGTTGATGAGGCTGTAGAGAAACTGAAACTCTCATACATTTACTAGCAGGGATTTAAATGGTACAACCACTGTGGAAAACAGTTGGGTAGTTCCTCAATTAAATAAACATAGAATTACCATGTAATCCAGCAATTCTACTCCAAAACAATTCTTTTTTTGGAAACAGAGTCTCGTTCTGTCGCCAAGGCTGGAGTACAGTGGCGCATTCTCAGCTCACTGCAATCTCCACCTCCTGGGTTCAGATGATTCTCCTGCCTGAGCTTTCCAAGTAGCTGGGTGGCATGCATCAACACTCTTGGTTAATTTTTGTATTTTTAGTAGAGATAGGGTTTCACCATGTTAGCCATGCTGGCCTGGAACTCCTGACCTGAGGTGATCCACCCTCCTCAGCCTCCCAAAGTGCTGGGATTACAGGCATGAGCCACTGCGCCTGGCCAACAATTCCATTTATACCCAAGAGAAGAGAAAATGTACGTCCACACCAGAAACCTGTAACCAATGTTCAAAGCAGCACTGTTCATAAGTACCAAGAGGTGGAAACAATCCAAACAGCCATCAACAAACGAATGGGTGAACAAAATGTGACACATCCGGATGACGGATTATTATTCAGCAAAAAAAAAAAAAAAAGAAAGAAATGAAACATTGGTAAATGAAAAGAAACGAAGCATGGATCAATGCTACAGCATGGATAAACCTTGAAATAATCACACGACGTGAAAGAAGCCAGACATACAAGACCACATGGTATATGATCCCATTTATATGAAGTGCCCCGAACAGACAAATCTAGTGAGACAGAAAGTAGACTGATGGTTTCCAGGGGCTGAAGGGTGTGGGGGGAATGAGAAGTGACTGCCAATGGGTATTCTTTTGGGGGTGATAAGTTGTTCTAGAATTAGGTAGTGGTGGCCAGGCACTGTGGCTCACACCTGTAATCCCAGCACTTTGGGAGGCTGAGGCGGGTGGATCATTTGAGGTCAGCAGTTCGAGACTAGCTAGGCCAACATGAGACCCCGTCTCTACTGAAAATACAGAAATTAGCCAAATGTGTTGACAGGCACCTGTAGTCCTGGTGCTGGGGAGGCTGAGGCAGGAGTATCGTTTGAACCCAGGAGGTGGAGGTTGCAGTGAGCTGAGATAGCACCACTGAACTCCAGCCTGGGTGACAGAGCAAGCCTCCATCTCAAAAAAAAAAAAAAAAAAAAAAAAAAGAATCAGACAGTGGTGATGTTTGTATGACTTTGTGAATATACTGAAAGCTACAGAACTGTATACTTTTAAACGGTGAATGTCATGAGCTGTGAATTAGGTGTCAATGTAAAAACTGTTTAACCTTGGGTATGAAGGGGCAATAGAAGCCAATTCCTTCCTCAGATGCTGTCAAGGTGGGGTTGAGAATTTCAGCGTCTCCAGGGTCAGAAAGGCATTACATGAGAGAAGGGGCCTGTGTGGGCATGAACTGGAGCCCCACTCTGTCGAAGGGGCTGCCATGGGAGGCCAGATTTTCCCCTTTCATTAAGAGGCAGAAATCCGCTGGGTTAAAAAATACTGGCAATCGACTGCAAAGGGTTCTGAATGCTGGGTTAAGCGCATTGCCTGTCTGGCCCTGGCCTCCCCCATCAGGCTGTGGGGACCTGCTTACAGCCTTGCTGTGCTAAGCAACCCATCACCAGTGGGAGCAGAGCCACGCAGGGTAGGGGGTCAAGGACAATGGTCCAGAACAGGGAGGATAGAAGGGGCCCAGAGGCAGAGGAGCAGGCCTGAAATCCCTCCTGGAGTCCAGCCTCCTCTCCCTGACTCAGGAGGGAAGAGAATGTCAGCACGTGCCCCCATCCATTTTGAGGCACTAGGACTCTGTGAGCCTGTAGTCCCAGGACCCAGGGGAGGGGCATGCACACCACTGCCTGCTCTTCCCACAACCCCAGCGGGCCCCGGGAGTGTGTGGGCCCTGAGAGACACCCCCGAGGCCCCATCAGTGCTTGCATGGCCCTCTGAGCACCTCTGGTTTGCTAGGTGCTTGCTAGAGGCCAGGGAAGCAGACGCAAAAAGCGCGGCCCCATTCTGCTGGAAATGCACATCCCCTCGCCAGGATCTAGGACGGTAAACGCTGCTTTAGCTGGCCAAGGGGCACCAGGGTTGCAGTGGAGGTTCTAGGCCACGGGGATGGGAGTAGGAGGTGATGCCCAATGGGGTTGTGGGGTGGGGTGGACGGTGCTAGCAGAGGGCGTAGCCTCGGCAGAGGCAGAGCAGGCAGGGCTCAGGGAGCCTCGGGCTCTTCAACATGGGTGGAAGACAGGCAGGGAATGAAGCAGCTGGGGTGGTGGGAATATGAAGGCCTCATCCATCAGGCCAGGGCATTTGAATTTGCCCCGAGTCTACAGAGGACGCCAAGCCAGGGAACGAGATCCCGAAGTGCCTGTCAATAGACAGGGTGGGTGTGGATGAGACTGAGAGATGGCAGGTGCAGCCGCCCAGGGTGAGGGTGGGGAAGGGGGAAGGTGGAAGGGCTCAGGACAAGGCCCCGCTGGAAGAAGCAAGCACAGCTGAGGGCCTTCTCGCGTGCCCCAGGGACTCCCCAAGCCACCCTGCCTCCCGCTGGTCCCACCAGCTGTGCCAGCCTGGACACCAGCCCCAGCACACCAAGAGGCATCACTGGGAATGTCTTGGTGACTTCCAAGACCCCCAGCACTCTCCTGCTTGCCGCCTCTTGAAAGATTGGCCAGGACTCAACCCAAACATTGGGGAAATCCCGGAATACAGAGGTGAGCCAAGCCGGATGGAAAGGTGAGCTCCTGACAGCATTGCCGGGGGAGGCTGCTGTGAGTCTCTGCTACACATCCCACTCAGTTGTCATCCTGAGCTCCGGAGGCTGCTTCCCCCTCTGTGATACAGAGGTGACAACAAGACCTCCTCCCTCGTGAGGTTGTTCACACCATGAAAAACCACCACTAGCTATTCACGATCGCAACCACCAACGTGGCAACCACCCAATGT